TATACAAAGTTATGAAAATTGCATGGCCTGTGGCGACTACTGTATATATATGTTACTCACTGTTTATAGTGACATTTTATGTTGAATATTTCATGCATACTGTTTTCAATAGGGCCTTCAAAGACATTGCCTACTACCATAAATATACTGAACTATACTGAACTAAATGAAGCGGGAGTATCGATTGACTTGGAGCTTATACACTTATCAGGCAGCGAGTTGATCGATAGCGTAAAAAAGGCCGATAGCGCGCGGACTGGATAATTACGCGTGGAAGAAGGGCCTGGCAGAGGGGAGGCAGGATGAGTAACACGCAGCTGCGCTGAGCGGCAAGTCTCTTACAAACTGAAGCCAGGCCCTTTAAGTGGTACACGTAGACGAGGTTACTAGATAATAAACAATCTGACACGCTTTAAGCTATCACGGCGCGCTAAAAACCGTGGCTTCAAAAATTGCCAACTGATGGGATAACTCGGGCCGCACAGTCAGCCCAGAGGCTGACTGAAAGTCGGGTTGCAACGGTAGAAGTTGAAAATGCGTTTTACTCGCTGACGAACCTGACCGATAACGGAAACCATCTGTCCCGCTCTGCCTTGGGCATCGCTAGAGGCCCTGATAGCTTTAATACCTGGTAGTATAGGCAGATAATATTGCCGGAAAAGACTGAGGAGACTGGAATGCGGCCATTTCTGGACTATTAGCCGCCGTCAGCCAGTCATACCCAGACCCAAGTGGTCTCCCACCCGAGCCTCGGTGACAGATGAGTTCAGTAAGCGGTCAGGTGAACTTTCATCAATAAGTGTCAATATCCTCTGACCTATAGCGGCGAGACAACGAGTTTCTGGCTCAATGATTAGGACGTTTAACTCTGCTCAAAAACATCGCCTGTTCGAGGGTCGGGTGGGACACCACTTGGGGCTGGATAAAATTGGCTGACGACGGCTAATAAGCCAGAGATGGCCACTTTAGTCTCCTTTGTTTTTTGCCGGCAATTCTAAATGCTCCTTACTGTTTATCCCGCTGCAGATAATTTTGAAGCCCAGTTGGCTGGCTGCCAGACAAATGCATGCACCAGCCCGCCCTAGGCTTGTGAAAACAAGTCACTATCGGTCAGACCAATCGGCAGACATTTGCCACTAACCAGCTTTGCTAATGGAGAATTCGCCCTAGGCGTTGATTGGATGACTTGCATCGGGCCAACGCAAACTACAAGCACTGTAAGCAGGGAATTCACACAAGCT